CCGCTAAATAGTTCTCTTTTGACAGCTAACAATAATTTCATTTGACATCTTATTAGTATGTGTTAAATTTAAATAAATCCTGGATTAGCTGCATATAAAAAACCAACAAACAAGGAGAGGTTGTTGGATTTAGCCTATAATCATGCTTTTATCTAGCTCTAGCAATCATTAAAATATATAGTTTAAAATGGCTCCTCATAAAACCCATATTTGATTAGTCTTTGTTGACATTTAATTCTGCACCTCAAGGCACCCCTCCCCTCTAAGATGCAGTTAATCTGTCTTGAAGACAGCTAAGAGCTACTCCTCTTGGCGCTTTCAAGACTGGCACTATGCATCCGTTTAATGAGCATGGTTACAAAGATTATAGTACTCCAGTTCTGATATAAAGTACAGAAGGAGCCCTGCAATCCAGAACAGAGGCTAGGTTGAACTAAAAAAGGAAAGACTTGTAACCACACAGGGGCAGGATCAAAACCAGTTTTATGCAGTAGACACCAAGATAGGACACCACATTCCTGCGATAGAGATCTCAGCAGTAAAGGCATTGTACCCCATTAAGGTCAAATGAGAGCATCTAGTTTGTGATCTGTTCTAGTATCAGATGACAGCATCTCTCTGTGTGTCTTAGACTTGTTATTGATCTCTTCATCCTTCTCTAAAACAAAAGCCAATCAGATGAGGCAGACAGAGAGAGAGAGATGCCATGTTTGTTGCTGTAGATACAATTGTCAGCTCCCTGCAGTACATATATAAAATGTGCCTGTATTTATTTAGTCTAGGAAATTTAAAAATCCCCTAAGACTCATTCAATTTCTCCTCTCAGCAATAATATTTTATTGATCTAATTCATTACAAAATTAGGATACTGGTCATAATTCTTATAAAATAATCTCTCCCACTTGACCCAGCCTCTACGGCTGAGATAAGCCCATTTGGTTTTATAGCTGAGGCAGTGAAAGTGTGGGTCACTCACATAATGTCCAGACCAATAGAGCCCGCAGGACAACTAAAACAGTTTACTTCATTTATTTATTGGTGCAGGAGAATGGCAGAAAAATACTGCTCAGTTACTCTTACCAATGCTGCTCCATCTATGAATTTAAAGTTTTGCTGTGGTTATTTGTGTTGTCAGTGCAAACTATTTAAAGCAGCTTATTCAATTACTGCAGGAGATAATCACTTATTTACCTGAAATATTAATACTCAGAGGAAGCATGATTAATATTAATCTCACAACCACACAGAGTGTACACTGCACAAGCTCCCCATTAATAATTAAAACAGGCTCAAGCTCTGAACGTGTCAGCATGAATGCAAATGCCATGGATTTTGTGAACAAATCAGTGAGCTCTGAAATTAATCATCTGATGTCAATCTTGTTCGGCTTGGATTTAAAGGTTAATTCTCCACAGAACAGATTTAAGTTATGCTTACCTTTAGCCTTGGGGAGTTTGACAAAATATAAAACTATACACAAAAACAAAACAAACAGCAAAAGAGCCAGTGCTGATGTCTTGTTCATTGCCAAATGACTGAGACTGAAGCCGATCTGAATGGTTGTAAATGTCTAATCAAAAATTAAATAGCAACAGTAAATGTTTTGAGAGCTGGAGAAACAGAAAAAATGTGGGGTGACAGTAAAGCATTTTATGGCTGTCAACTATGACAGTGCACCTGTAAAGGATACACCTCAGTGAGAATGCCTACATATGAAAAGGAAGTGTAAAATGTAGTCAAGGAACACCAACTGTCTGCCAGTGATACGAGATGACGCCCAGCAGATGAATCCATTCATATCATACAAGACCAAAAAAAACAAAAAAAACAACCTAAAAGCATCAGCTGTAGTGGGAACAGTTCTAAAGGAGACATTTCTTGTAGTGTGCTACTTCCTTTTAAGGTATGACCACTTTCACTTTGTCCACCTTTTCAAAGTCACCTCTTATCCCTCACTTTTTCACCTTCCTCTCTTTGCCCTGTCCATCATGTCTTGCACTCTTCTTTCACCCTGCTCCTTTTACTGCTGCCTAGCCCCAAGTGGGGTGCATGGCCTATCGCCATAGTAACAGACAGCCATGACAGGTGGAGATAGCAGGTAGTGCAGTGATGCGCGACAGCCCTGAGACTGCAGAATGCCAACACTATAGAATAAGAATGAGCAGAACATACACTCTTCTAAAAGTCACCCTGCATAGACGGGGGTAGATCCAATTCATTGAGGTTTATCATGAGGGGGTCAGTGCCTTATCTCTATTCTACACATGCAGCAAAGCCACACTGCCATTGTTTCACTGTGAAGCTGGTCAGAGGGGTCCAATCATGAAAGCATGTTGTCTCAATTTTATCCCTTTCAGTGGCAAAACCTGAACCAGGTGAAACCAAGCTGGTCTGTTATATGGCTGGGACTGACTGGAAATCTACACTAAAAACTGTTCTGTAAAATGTGTAACTGAATTAGTCTTGAACAAAATTACATCCTCCTCCAACATGCAGAGACAATATGTTCAGCACTGCTCTTCCATGGTTGCAATAGTTTGAGGGATTTCCCCCACATATGACCACTGCAGTAGCTAAACACATGCAGTCAAGCAAAAGCTAGACACAATTCTATAGCATGAAAGGCAGCTTCTGCTCCTACTGTGATCCTAGGAAGTTAGAGGATTTCAAGCTGGCAGATGTAGTAAAGGGGAGGAGCAAACAAGCAGCATCCCTTCTAATGAGATGACAGCTCAACTCCTGGTTGAGTGGGTACTTAGTTTGAGGAGTGATGAGAGAAATGCGCGGCAGAGAAAGAAAAAAGACAGTATTGTACCTCTCCAAGACTCACCATGAGCAAACACACAGCAGATTCAGGGATGAGCTGGACAGCCATGATGGGGTCCTCTTACAGATTCTTGCAAAATGGGGATGCTTCAAATGTCCTGAGGGGAGTCCCTTTCTTATTCTCTCCTTCTGAGTCTTTACTCAGGAAGCAGGCTCACTTCTGTTCAGATCTGTTCCTTTGACTGGTCTTCTTGCTCTAACCACCAGTCTGTCAGTGCCGCAGACGACCTCTAGTCTCTAATTGTAATGCTACAGTCTCAGAAGAGACCGAGTCCCCAGACAGAGGAAAGAGCAATCTTTCTCCCAGTTCTTTGATGTGAGAGCAGAGCAGACAGCCCTCTCTCTCCTCCTTACACTTTTAAAACACTCCCTGCAGTCCCCACGCCCACCTCCCCAAAGCCCCTGTCACTTGGGGTGACTTGCTAAATGCTCCCTTCCCTCTGTTGCTACCTCCTTTGTCAGTCCTCACAACACAAAGCACATCCAGGTGTGCGTGTGGATTTTCCGTCCATCTGCTTCCTCGGGAGGCTGTCCTGTCAAATCAGTGATGCTCCCCAGTCTAATGCACACCTTCAGTGTGGTGAGGAAAAACACACTCAGCACACCTCTTCGTTCAGAGACTGCCTCTTTAAGCTGATCCCCTGCTTCATATATCATCAGCATGAGACAAGGGCAGAGAGGGAGGGAAGCAAAGGAGTGTTTCAGAAGGACAGAGGATGAGATGCATGCAGCCAGGAGGAGAGAGACGTAATGTAGAGTGAAGCCGGTGGTAAGAGAGGTTCACACAGTGCTGAGCGTAAATGAAGGTGGGTGGAGAAGAGGGAGGGGAGAGAGAGAGCAATGGAAACGCTGAGAGCAGACCGCACCTATCAGTGCCAACTGAAAGAACAAGGCACTATGGGAAGTGAGTAAATACACATCACCTCGTTTATGGTAAGGAAAGGGTATAGCTATGATGGTGCCCATCATCATTTAGATCTATGGCAGCCATTATATCCTCAGGCATGTTTCAGAGTAATGTTTGACATTAATTTAAACAAAACAGTCTCAGCATGGCTTTTGTCTTAGATGTGCATGGGATAGCATGCAGGACAGAGAGAAGGATACATAATAAGATACTAGGAATAAGCTGAGATTATCCATCATGTAATCACATAACTGATCAATTTTACAGCTGGAAATACAACCAAGACTCAGTGCAGTCCCGCGACCCCGTTCGGGACTAAGCGGTCTGGATAACGAATGGACTCAGTGCAGCCAAGTAGCTCTAGCTCAGCTCTAAAACTAATGTAATTATCAGTGTGTGTGTTTGAGCTTTTAATATTTAATCATATAAAGTGTTTTAATATTTGATTTTTCAAATAGATCCTGTAGGTTAATACTTAGTTGCAACTAGTTTCATTGCATACATTTTATCTTCAGTTTATGTGTCAGTTAAATGTCTCAACATTCGTATAACAAAAGCAAAGGGCAGCTGCTATTCAGATGGCAGAGAGGCATAAGAAACAATTTACTTACAAGATTATTATCATTAGTTGCAAAAACATTGTGGACAATTCGGCAGAGTACAAGTGGACTGGGATATTTACCATGGATCTACTGAATGAATAGGAAACAAATGAACAGGTGGGCATAAGTGACTGTAAAGGAAGGGAGGGCTGTCAGGAGAACAGTAGTGTCTGAAACAACAAGATAGTGAAATCATGGCAAAAGCAGACATGAACTTGAATGAACTGTGGCACAAAAAGCCATGCGATATTCCTCATATCACAGACACCACCGAGTGGTGACAAAATAAAACTGCAGTGTCTGTCAAATCTTCTGTCCTAGATCACTCCAAACAAAAACCTCTTGTCTGACCTCTAGTCTAACATAGATAAGGAATTGCCAGATTTCCATATACAGATGTTCTTTATTTTTCTTACCACACCAACAACTCTCCAGGAAAGAGGTTAAACAAGTGTCTCTTGTAACTTCAGGCATGCTTGCTACCACTCCAGGAAGTGGAGTTCCACTGTATTTTTATAGGCAGTATAAAAATAGTATCAGTCAAACTGCAATCAGACTTTATAATCAAAAGTATTTTAATAAAACTTTTCCTCTCTTAAAGGTATTGTTCCTTAACGAGGCATTAAACCACTTATATTACTATCTGGTTGAGGTTTTGATTTATGCCAATAGGAAGGTGACTCATTTCCGGTGCATGCAGTTCTTACAGTCTGTGAAGTCTGTGGCCAACTCATGTTCACTCACTCACTCAAGCCCCACCCATCTTACCGTGTCACTCTGCTCAGCAATTGAGGAACAGGAAACAAAAACTTAGCAAATTGTTTTGCCATAACTTTACTGTGGCAGACTCCAGCAGTAATTCTTGCACTGGACAATAAGTTATGCTATCTGTGGTGAGTACAAGCCAGATTGTTAATACTGTATTAACAAGACATAAGAAAATGTTTATCAGCAAAATGTGCTGCTGCTTTAATGTCAGGGTCAAAGCTAAGCAGTAATTACAGGCTAGTTCAAAAAAACAAATACACAAGCAGCTATTAAATAACTTTATGTATGTTTTGTCCCCTTTCTTCTATTATTATTTTCAACTGGTCAGCAGGAGATGGCACTGTCAAGCCGCATGAATCAACTAGTACGTAGTGAAAGCCTGGAGAGATGGGTTTTTATTGACTCTGGGGGATTTGGTACTGTCTACAAGGCCAGGCACAAAGACTGGGGATTCGATGTGGCTGTTAAGCTGCTAAATGATGGGTAAATGCCTAAATATTTGAAAACTATTTTACAGTATTAGTTCATGCACATCCATACATGGTAAACAGCAGTTTAGAGAGCTCTGTGTCTTTTTCTTCCTCTCTCCTCCTTCCAAACATCCCTTACTGGTACAGCTCAACACTGTGTGAAGAGGCTAAGCATATGGATATGGTCTCCTGTGAGTTTGTACTGAGGGTCTATGGAATTTTTGAGGGATTTGGGCCATGGAAAGAACCATCCATGCAAAAGGGAATAGTCATGGAGTTCATGAGAAGAGGATCTGTTAAAGACCTGCAGAAAACCCTGTCTGGCCCTCCACCATGGCCCCTGGCCTTCCGCTTAGCCCATCAAGTGGCTCTAGGCATGAACTTCCTCCATTTAAAGGACCTTGTACACAGTGACCTGAAACCAAGTAATGTACTGCTGAATGACGACCTTAACGCCAAGGTAGAGTTTCATCAACATAAACTGTTGAGTTTATATTTGATTTAAGTTGTTTTAATTATCTGTCTAATGTTATGTTTCTCTTTTTGCTCAGTAGATAGCAGACTTCGGTCTGTCCAGGGTTTCCACAAGCGCTTTGAATAGCAACAGTGAAACCGGAGAGGCTGGAGGCTCATACATGTACATGCCTCCAGAGGCTTTTACAGCTTCATATAAACCTGTCCGTGCCTTCGACATATACAGGTTAACATTCAAAATAATTTCTTTTAAATAAGAATGCTGTGGTTCAAAACCTTTAACTGTGTAAACATGTTACATAGAAACTCTTTCTCTCTTTTTTTTTATTCAGCTATGGCATCCTTCTCTGGTCGATTGCTACTGGCAAAGAGCCCTATCCAAGTATAAAAACTTGATTTTTATTGTTCTACCATTTTCCACTGCTTTGTTTGATTTCTGGCATTTATATTTCCTATTTTTAATTCAAGTTAATGGCATCCTGCTATCTGTCTTTTTAGTTGGTATTCTTTTGTTTTTTTTCTCCATAATTTGTTACTTTACAATACATACACACAGTTGTGTTTGCAAGTTATGATGCATGTCTTCATTATACCAAATGCACTGCAGATGCTTGTTATAGTCTTGTGGAACTGAACATCCCTAGAGGGGACAGACCTAGCCTCGAGGACATTGACCACAAGGTGGAAGGACTGAAAGAGCTGGTTGACCTCATGAAGTGGTGCTGGGATGGGAATCCCTTGAAAAGGCCTAAATTTACAGGTCTGTATTTGCTATAATAATATAAATGCTCAGTGTCACCACATCACATCATTTGCTACTCACATATACACTATATGGACAAAAGTATTGGGACGCCTAGTCGTTACATCAACAGGGACTTTGACACTGCATTCAAATAAATAGACTTTAATATGAAGTTGGTCCCCCCCGTTGCAGCTATAACAACTTCCACTCTTCTTTGAAGGCTTTCGACAAAATATTGGAGTGTTTCTGTGGGAATTTGTGCCCATTCATTCTGTAGAGCATTTATGAGGTCAGGCAATGATGTTGCCAAAGGTGTTTGATGAGGTTTAGGTCAGGGCTCTGTGCTCATCCAACCATGCCTTTAAGGATCTTGCTTTATGAAGTGGGGTACAGTTACGCTGGAATAGAAAAGAGTCTTCCCCCAACTGTTTCCACAAAGTAGGAAGCATAGTGTTGCCTAAAATGTCTTGGAATGCTAAAGCATTAAGACTGCCCTTCACTGGAAGTAAGGGGGCCTAGCCCAAACTTCAAAAAACAGCCCCATACCATTAACCCATCTCCACCAAGCTTCACAGTTGGCACAATGCAGTCAGACCGGTAATGTTGTCTTGGCATCCGCCAAACCCAGACTCCCAGTACTTTTGTCCATATAGTGTATTTCCGAATCAAATGGGCTTGAAGACATTTTGTCACTTACAGTAAATTACACCTGCATAATTTATGAAGCCACAGTACATTCAAACACACTGTAATTTACTTGTGATATGTCTTCCTAAACAAATCATGGCTTCTGTTTCAGACTGCATTGATGTCACTGAGAATTTGTTCTCAAAGCACGAGAAGGGAATTCATGATGCCGTCTATCGAGTGGCAAAACCGGTGCAACTCATACATTTTCTTTCAGAAAATGAAAAGCAGTTAAAATTCCCACAAAACAAATTTAATTTGTTTCTTTTTCTCATGTGTGATATTTTCCTCCATGTTATAGGATTCAAAAACCAGTAATCAACAACCAAACACAAGTGGGACATTCAGTTGTTCTTCTCAGACACCAGATGATGCTGTCTGTGAGTTCAGTAAGTGTAAGATAATAAATTAATCCTTACTTCCCACAGTAAAACATCAAAACATCATTCAGATGCACTTTTTAATTTTAATTTAAATTTCTATTTTTTTACAGAACAGTCCAAGTATGATATTGTGGATCACATTAAAAAAACTGAAACGTCTTCAACACAGGTATGCTACATGGACTTTGACCTTTGCCTCACAGCAAGGTGAAAACATTAAGTAAACTAATTTAATGAAGTAGTTTTATTGTAGTAAACAAACAAACTGTTGCATCAGATCAGAATCAGTAAAATCTGTTTTTCTATCATCGTATCGGTTCACTGGTATAATTATATAAACTGAAGGAGCTTTTTATTTTGCTTACAGGCTTCAGTCCATGTTTCAACTCAAAGAATGAGTGATAAAGATAAAGGTGAGTATTTTTGTCACTGAATTGATGCATGAAAATGAATCAAAGATCTTTGTGTTAAAAAAGTGTATAATTTAAGTATGCTTTTTATGTAAATATTTTTGTCCTTTTTTTATTTTCAAACAGCAACGTTTGTCGATGGCAACAGGGCAACATTAATTCAGGCCGTTTCAGAAGTAATGGTGATAGTAGACAAGCTTGGAAACATGGTCCACAGTGAAACCTACTCAGTGATTGAAGCTCACCTGACAAGTCAAGAAAAAATGAGGGATCTTTATCAAAGGGTATTTCGTCCAGGAGGGGTAAAGGTCAAAGCAGCCTTCTATGACATCCTTAGAGAAGATCATCCCCACCTAGTGGAAAGGCTCGGTATGACTTGCTTTTGTTAAAGCAGTCAAACATGTTTTATCGTATGAAATGTTTTTCAAGTTTTTGATTTCTCCTTTTTCCCCTCAGGTGGAAAACACTGATGCAAACATGGCCTTCCTGCATTTTATGCCTGAAAATGTCAAAGACTTTCCCTGCTTCTCCTCCTGCACTTTCATTTGTTGTAAAAAAAAAAAAAAAAAGTGATACATTTCATTCATTCATGTTTTTGCAGTTTGTTAACATTTTTCTATATAATTTCTTAAATAAACTTTTTCAGAAAGGAGGAATATTATGTCCACTTGTTTTTGTTCAAAATGTAACATGATGTGTAGTTCAGGGGCTTTATTATCAATCACAAACATGTTCTCCATTGTGGGGAAGTCCTTGATTCTTCCAGTGGAAAAAGGGACCCCAGGCCACAAAGTTACTCCCCTGTCTCATTGTAATACACAGGTTTAATCTTCAATGCTCATGATGAATAAAGGTCCAAAAAAAGGACTGTAAGGACTGCAACAGTATTCTGGGATTTAACCTTTGTTTCATTCACAGCTCTGTCGCCTAGAGCCCTGCAAAAGCACGCACACACACACCTTCACACCATGGTAGTCCTCCAGGGGTAAAGTGTGTTCAGGCTTTATTGTGACCCATCCTTCTCTTCATTAGTCCTACTGCCTCACTCCACCCCATACGCCCATATCACTCCACCCCATCCTCCTGCATTAATGCTCCCAATCCTCTTTGTGTTAGAGTGACGTCTGCTACTGTCAGAAACAGAGTTAAGCTCGGTAAGCACCAGTAGAAGCAAAGTGGAGAGAAGCACCCAGCCTGAGGGACAACCAAACAGCACTGCATTCTGGGCCTCCAAGGAGACAAATCTCTGCTACCTAAGCAAGAGCTGACTTTTATCCCCAGTGGCAGCTCAACTTCCAGCTGGGGAGCATACATGGGATCCTAAATTTGGTTTGCCAAGATAGTTGACTTCATCAACAGGTTAGCTAAAAACCCTGCATCCCCCACCTGAGGGCCTTAATGGCCTCCAAGGATGACTGCTGAAAAACAGGAATACAAACTCTGAGCAAGCAACATTTTTTTCTGTCTTCTTTTTTAATGCTGCTTCTGAATTCAAAGTTGTTTGTGTGAACATGCACTCAAAGCATTGGGTGTTTGTGAGTGCTTATAATTGAACAAATGTGTTGGTGTGTGTCTGTTGGGAGCCACTGAAGTCACTATTTACTTCGAGTCTGTGTGTGTGTGATTTTCTTTGTGTGTATGATACAAGTCACAACTGCTTGCAGAGTGTGTGCGTGTGCAGTGGTGAGGCCTTGTGGAGGTTGTAGCCCTGGATTTCCTAAAGATGGAAGGTCATGGTTATGACCAATTTGGAGATGGGGAGAGGGACGGTTACCAGATCGACTACCGGAGGATTGTAGGGGACATGAAACCAGCACGACTATGCATCTCAAACAGAGATGGGGAACAGCCTCGCCCCTATGAGTCCTGTGCCCACCCAATGCCATATGGACATGGGCATGAGACTGCAGCCCAGCGCTACACTGCTACACGAATCCAAGCTGGATATGAACCAGAGAGGTCTGTCTCACACTCACAACTCTGCATAGCCTGTAAGGCCATAACCCTAAAATCACTGCAGACCTTCTCGAATTTGCAAAAGTGATAGTGTGAAGCCTTATTACTTGTAAAAATTGTATGTTCAGCAGCAACAGTATGCTTCTGCAAACCCATTTATCAGCTACCTGGGCACCCAACCAAATCCTATTAACTGCTGTACTGCCGTCACTGGTGTATAGAAAGAATTTCCACTGACGAGGATGTATTCCTTCTCTTAGCATTTCCTTCATTTGTAATAGGATCTGGTTACACTATGTGTGTAAGAAACAAAGGTCAAGAGAACAAGGGGTACATTCTTTTAGAAGTAAATGGCTGACTAAACAACTTCTTTTATATAAACAATACATTTATGTACACTGCTTGCACACATGGGACATATAGGATGGATTTGTGTTAAAATTGTCAATAAAATGTTCATTAAAATATTCAGCATAAGTAACAAAAATGATCCACTATCCCTTTGTGTTCATGTCTTTACACACTAATGAAATCTTCAGATCTGGCTAACTCAGCTGTATGATATGTGCCATTGTGTGTTTTTATATTTCAGCATGGCAGACTACTTGATCAGTGGAGGCACAGGTTATGTTCCTGAAGATGGGTTAACAGCACAACAGCTCTTTGCTATCGGCGATGGACTTACATACAAGTAAGAAATGCTGATCAAAAAACAAACATTTTACTGACTAGTTTTTAGTCATTGCTAGCACACTATCACAGATATGTGTGCAAAAATGGTTCACATACAGGTGTACACACAGAAACACAGTCATGCAGTGTCATATCTGATGCTTGGGTTTTATATGGAGGATTATACAGAGTAATGCTACTTTCAAGGATGATTCTGAGTGGTGACACAGGCATTAAAAGCAGTGTGTGTGTTTGCGCACATATCAGTGTTTTAATGGGTGATGAGTGTGGCTTCCTTAATGGAGGGTATATGCACGGTTTATCAGTGTGCACACAATAAATGTAGAACATTTCAGTGGGTTGAAAAGCTGACAATGAGTGGATGTAATCTTTTCAGCTTTCAAAGTACTGTAAGTCAACAAAACGGCTCCTTAGGAACCGATACAGTTCGCATTCACTACTAAATATATATCAGTCTTGTTTATGGTAGTGTGGTAATGACTATTCTTAGTCATGCTGTTTCCAGTTCCAAAGCATGATGTTTCCATATTTCACTCTCTGATCACGTGTCTGTTTCTTCTATCATTAGTGACTTTGTGATCCTCCCTGGTTTCATAGATTTTACTTCTGAAGAGGTGGTGAGTATCATCACACTGTCGAGCACTTAACAAGCCGTATGCTGTATTATATGCATCATAAATACCAACGTGTGCTGATATTTTATATCCCTGTCAACAATTCACAAGCTGAGACAAGTTTTGCTGTAATTCCTGTCATTAATCTGTAACTCTGTGCTATGTTTGTCAGTTAAGGGTGCTTGAGCACAAAGTTGTTTATTTTACTTGCTTTGTTTTTGTCTTTGCAAGCTCTGCTGGGACATTAAATTAATTTCATGCCCAGGTCACATGGGTCACTGCTGGATAGCAGGTGTTCAAAACAGACACCTGCATATTTAACACTCAGCAGGTGATTTCACCATGTCAGCCTCTAAACTGACTTTTAGACTCAGTGTGTAGGAATATATTATCAACCATTTGGTTGCTTTTGTGCTGCAAGTGCAAGACTGTAGGGATGTTGTTTGTGGGAAAGTATCATGGTGATTAATTCTCCAGACATGCATGCACCTAGGATTAATTTAGAACATGTCATAGCACAGCATTTAAATTATATTTTAGATTTACTTTGAAGTATATATTTAATGGTGTTATAAGATCATAAAATGATGTTTCTGTTGTCAAATGCATCACATTTTAGGACCTAACTTCTGCACTGACAAGAAAGATAACCCTGAAGACACCTCTTATTTCATCCCCCATGGATACAGTCACAGAGTCATCCATGGCCATTGCCATGGCAGTGAGTATAAACAAAGCACAGACTCAAGTACAACACATACTCACTCAGCTTAGCATCTTTTTGTTGTGGAAAGTGCATCAGTTTTTTTGTACCTGTTTCAGCTGATGGGTGGGATTGGAATAATTCATCATAACTGTACTGCTGAGTTCCAAGCCAATGAGGTGCACAAAGTCAAGGTATGATGGATCAAGTCAACAAAGACATGGACTTACTGTACATTAGACAGTATCGGTGACACTGTGACATTCACAGCAGCCCTTTCTCAAAATGAGATGTTACTGATGTATGCACCAAAGTCCCCTAACCACTCGACACTTGTGCTTTTGTTTTCACCAGAAATTTGAGCAGGGCTTTATTACAGACCCGGTGGTAATGAGTCCACGACAGACGGTGGGGGATGTGTTTGAGGCCAAGATACGCCATGGTTTCTCTGGAATCCCAATCACAGAGACTGGCAAGATGGGTAGCAAACTTGTTGGCATAGTGACCTCCAGAGACATAGACTTTCTGTCTGAGAAAGACCATGATAGACCTCTGGAGGAGGTAGGTGTATAACTGATGTGTTTATGTGTGTAAGAACATAACATATGCAGCAATAACATGGTGCCAAATATGTGGGTCGTCTGATGATACATTTTTCATTGTTGTAATCATTTTAACTTCTTTTTCATTCAGGCAATGACCAAAAGAGAAGAGTTAGTTGTTGCTCCAGCTGGAGTCACCCTAAAAGAGGCTAATGATATATTGCAGCGTAGCAAAAAAGGTAAATCTGTCAAAAGTGCTACTGTACCCCAAGCAGTCAACACTTGGACTAAAGTACATGCTCAGGATTTTTTTTCCCTCTTTTACTAATTCCACACTCTGACTCACTTAGGTAAGCTCCCCATAGTGAATGACAGTGACGAGCTGGTCGCCATTATTGCTAGGACTGACTTGAAGAAAAACAGAGATTATCCTCTGGCTTCCAAGGACTCCCGCAAGCAGCTGTTGTGTGGAGCTGCCATCGGTACCAGGGAGGATGACAAATATAGGCTGGACCTTCTCATGCAGGCTGGGGTAGATGTAATAGTCCTGGTAGGTTGTGCTTTTAGTTAGTTTATAATTTGATTTTAAAGTCATATCACTAATGATAATGACTAACATAGGATGAGGATAATGCCGCTGTGATCATTTGATTTTTCTAATTTTGTACTTACTTCCCACATCTGGGTCTTTGAATTACAGGACTCCTCTCAAGGAAACTCAGTATACCAAATCAGCATGATAAACTACATCAAGCAGAAATATCCTGAACTTCAGGTAGTTGGAGGAAACGGTAAGCTCAGCTTCTTTTCGCTGAGCATTTGTGTCGCTTTAACTCCTACTTAAAGAGTTCATCCTCATTCAGCTCTTATCTGTACCTCTGCCTCTCTCTAGTGGTGACAGCTGCTCAGGCAAAAAACCTCATAGATGCTGGTGTGGATGCCCTGAGGGTGGGCATGGGTTGTGGTTCAATCTGTATCACTCAGGAAGGTATGCCAAAGACTACAGTACTGTGAGCAGCTGCTGCTTTCAGATAAAACCTATGCACAAAGTCAACCAAATTGCCCCCTTTTAAACTCATTTTTGCAAATACTAATACGCTTATGAAGTGAAACAGCAAAGAAACCTTGAACAATTTAAGAACTAATAAAAATACACCACTGGACATGAAATATTGCATAGTAACTACTGTTTCTCAGTAATGGCATGCGGACGACCCCAAGGTACATCTGTGTACAAGGTGGCAGAGTATGCCCGACGTTTTGGGGTGCCGGTAATCGCTGATGGAGGCATTCAGACTATTGGACATGTGGTGAAGGCTCTGGCCTTGGGAGCATCTACAGGTAGAAAAATGTAACATTCTCCTACAAGATGTCAGTGATGGGGTGAAACATGCTACTTTTTCAAAATGAAAGCACATTTTTGTAAGTGTTTGCTTATTTGTTATCATCTTTCCCTTGCCTGTTGTCCTTACATCTCATATGTATGCCCTCAGTGATGATGGGGTCATTGCTTGCAGCAACCACTGAAGCGCCAGGAGAATATTTCTTTTCAGATGGTGTGCGTCTGAAGAAGTACAGAGGAATGGGCTCCTTGGATGCAATGGAGAAAAATAACAGTCAGAAACGTTATTTCAGGTGCAGTTGTGGGGTTACAGAGGCGGTTTGGTATATAAACATTATTCCAAAAAGCAGTATAATCATAAAATATTATTGTGACACACTAATTCCTTACTTTGTGTGAATGGTTCTGTGTGCATTCAGTGAGGGAGATAAAGTAAAGGTGGCTCAGGGTGTCTCAGGCTCAGTACAAGATAAAGGCTCCATCCATAAATTTGCTCCTTACCTCATTGCTGGTATCCAACATGGCTGTCAGGACATAGGAGCCAAGAGCTTGTCCATTTTACGGTAAGTGTAAAATTGTGATTGTATGGATGTTTGTTTGTTCACTGTAAGTCTTTATTGTGTGAGGGCTTTTGACTATTCAGCTGTGTGTGTCTTTTATCCCAGCTCAATGATGTACACTGGAGAGCTGAAGTTTGAAAAGAGAACCATGTCTGCTCAGATGGAGGGAGGAGTCCATGGCCTCCACTCGTAAGACTGACCTCTGACTCCTTCTTACTCCAAGTGCCTTGTTTTTGTGATCCCTGTCCCTAAATATTTTGGTGGCAGTGGTGGTGTGGTGAGGGCTGCCATCAATTGTTTCCTCTCCTTTTTCTTTAAATATGAGATATATACTTTATGAATAAAGGCACTATTTATGTATTTAAGCTCAGTTATTATTAGTCTCTTTGTCAGAGATTATTTATTGTAAACCTCTCTATAATTTACTTGTAATTAGCAGCAACAAAATGTCTTCTCTCTTCCTTTTCTTACCCATGCTATCATATTAGATATTCATTTGTCCCATGTAAGTACATCCATGCAGTGATCACACCTCCATCTTCTTTCATTCATTCATCTACTTTCAAGACTGTTTTTGTAGTAATGAAATGTTATTACAACCCAGAAAATGCTAATACTTTGTTTAATTCTTAATGTAGTTATGAGAAACAGCTTCACTGAGGCGGGAGGAAGGGGAAACATTCGTTCTGGGCCTGATGTGCCAACCCCTGCAGCTATGAGCGGATTCACCCTGCGCATGTGATCACTACAAACACAAAGCTGCTGTTGCTGAACCACATCCAATCGTTGACACAACTTATTGTGCAATCTTCTCTTCTCTTCCTCATGTTTGTTCCATCTATGAAATTTGTAAGGGTACACAAAACAACACACCACAACCGCAACCTGAATGTAAAGTTCAAAGATGAGCCAAAGAGCCATGCCCATTAATAAGGTCTTTATTTGTCTTTTTCCTGCTGTGGCTAAAGTGTACTGGGGCTTAAATCATTAACTATTCAGTTGATCCCTTTCAACTGCTTTACCATAAAAAATTGTCTTTGACATTATTTTTTTATACCATTTCAAATTTTATTACATCAGAGGAGGAAAACAACACATGATAAATAGTTTTGATAAAGAGAGCTGATTCTGCTCTGCTGATTCTGCTCTGATCTCCCAGCCAGACTCAAGAAACGTAAAATAATCTTGATTTAAGTGTTGTCATAATCACATTTTCTAGCCTGTGACCTTATGTATAAAGCATAAAGAGCTAAGTGTAAACATATAATACACACATACAGTTATATTCCCATTATTTTCTTACTGCACAGGCTAGTTTTTGTTCAAGTACATTCAAAGTGAGCTCTGTGAATATGCTATATCACTATAGAAACGACCAAAACTTAGCATAAGCATTAATTTACATAACATTAGTAACAAGGAGCATCTCAAAGAACAGAAATATAGTATGAAAAAAGTATTGTTGACTCTGATGTGGGGTGATTTTTCTCATTGCCACTACATGGAATTATAGTTAAGCTGTACTCATTTCAATACTTATCATTTCAACCCAGAGGTTCTAACCTCAGCAATACACACTGCTGAACTTTGCCAACTACTCAGAAAACCAATCAGTTTTTATTACATCAGGCTGAAATTACAAATACCAAATGGGGAGGAGACAGTGGTGCGGTGGGCAGAGCAGTCATCTCCCAGCCAGACAGTTGAAGGTTCAAATCTCGGTGCCTGCAGTCCACATGTCAAAGTGTCTTTGGGCAAGACACTGAACTCCCCCGTTGCCCCCGATGGTTAGAGCCATCGGTTGAGTTGGCGCTGCAGATGGCTGCCATCGGTTCTGTACCAGAAACAAATTCCTTGTGTGTAACATACTTGGCCAATAAAGGTGATTATCCTTATCAAAATGTCTGATCCCGTGTTTATAGTTCAGCACCTTAATGGCCAGCAAAGTACTGCTCATGTGTCAGCAAAATATTATGCTTCAACAGATAGTAATTTTTTATTTTAATATTCCCTCATATTGTTTAACACTGTAGATGAACCAATACTATCACAAATGGGGAGGGGATTCATACTGTATCTCCCATTTCACTGAGCATATATTCAAACATCAAACATATTACAAACATCACTGTGAAGAAAAGAGCATAGTGAAGCTTCTGAACACAGTCTGATGAAGTCTGCATTTAAAATCAAGTTGTGTATATTTATATCAATGGTAAACTATTTATATAAAATAGACTGGGTCTACATATTGGATCTATATCCATCCTTTTTTCATTAGCTCAGGTAAACATTTTCCTCTATCAGAGTCTACCTTTTCTGCACAAAGCTATGTATGTTCCAGTCACATCTGAGCTTTTATAACTTTTATAACTTCTTACAGTTCAACGGTGTCACTGCAAACACTCAGAGCATCAATTTGTTTACACACCTTGACAAACTCTGACTGTACAGCCAGATCAAAGTCCAGCTGTCTACTTTCACTCAGATGTTTAGTTCCTCCCAGTTGCCCAGGTCTCTGGTTGTTCTGGGAGGCTAAGCTCAGGGTTTTGTAACGCCTGTTGTATGACATGTGGGGGATTGCTCGTGGAAAGCTGCTATGAGCAAGGTTTTGCCCTCTGTTGGCCCAGGAATGTGAGCGAAACTTTCCTGTCACCTTGGGATGGCTGCACAAACCCTGGGTTGAGCCAGAGATACTCCCTTTCCAGCCCCACTGCTCTGGTGAGTTGTTGTGAGATGTCAAGGAGCTATGTGGCTGAGAAGGTCTTGAACTGGACAAGGTGTTCTCTTGAGTCACATCTCGACAGGATGAGGTTCTGTATATGTCATTTTCCACAGAACAGAGCCCCTGCTTTGATGTTTCTTGGCTAGGAGAGCTCACACAGAGGCTTGAAGAAGCATGTAACAGCCTTGGCAAACCAAAAATACTATGAGAAAATAAGGATTCACTGAATAGTGCCTGGTCAATACTTCGGGACAAGTTTATGGGAGATGGAGGCTCCAGGTCTACACTAGAGTCACTCTCTAGACCTAGGCTATCGAGTGATGATAAATGGGACTCATCTGCACTTTTAGGCTTGTGAGGTGGGCTTGGGGATGTAGGAAGAGGTAGTATGGTAGTAGTTTGGGTTTGGCTGGATTTCGGGAAGCAGTCTAACCTATTTCCAGGAGGATCCACCATGGAACAAAGAGGAAGAGCTTCAGACTGTTCTTTAGTGATGACATCACAGACCGCCAGCTTTTCTTGCTTAACCTGGAACCAGGAATTGTGTGAGGAAAAGACAGGAGAATTTGCACCTTCCTGAGAGGACACAGTGATCCCGCGTGAAGGGGAACTGCAGGAGAGGCGGGACCAGGATCCCGGCCGAGGATGAGTTATGGTCTTTATGGAGGAGCTGTGACAGAATAGAGGATGTGTGCCAATGACAGACAAACCTAGACATACCCCAGCCTCACAGAGTCTGCAGCCTACCTGGTAGCCCCACCAGGGCCAGGGCTGGAGCCCATTTCCATTAACCCCTCCCAAACCAAGGGCATGCAGGATCCCATAAAGCTGTAGACCCCCACATCCTAACAAACACAGAGCAGCTCCTATTCCAGCTCTTGCTGCCCTACCCCAGTCCTCCACTTTGGCAAAGGGGCAGCTTGCAGGTCTCAACACTTCAGGTGATCCTCCACCCTCTTCATTGTCATTCAGCCTGTAGATGTGTTTTGTGTCAACTTGTATTAAGCAGTAGAAGATAAGATAGGAGCATGAGAGAAAAATGGTGAGACATACAAACACACACTGGGGGAACAGCAAGATCATGGTGGGGAGGTTGTGGAAGAGATGGAGCACGCCAACACATCCTACAGAGACTCCAAAATGCAACAGTGATATAAACAGTAAAAGGTAAGGTTTGGGCAAGGCTGAGAATGAGGTGGAAATAGCAAGTGGGAGTGACAGATGCATACGTAAGCGCAAGGAAAGAACGTTGAAGATCAGGGAGAAGGCTGAGATCAAACAAGGGAAAGATAGCTCAGAGAGCAGCAGGGAGCCCAGAGGAGGAAGATGATCATGATGATTGTATGCATCATAGAGCAAACAGAAAGACTGGATCCCTGAAAACGCTGAGAGGAACAAGTGTAGCAGAGTGAAGTAGAGACTCCCCGGTGGACACCGCAGTGGAAGTCCCAACAAGCAGACCATGGAGATCAGGCCAAATACAATGAAGACAGATCCTAGGCCATAGATGTATGCTTCCCATGCAAATCCCCATATGGCAAGGGCAGAGTTCCAGTCCGAATACAGAGGGATGACACAGGCGGGGCTGACAACCAGGGCAGGGTGCAGGGACTCATCAAGAGGAAAACTGTCCAGGTAGGTGGGAGTCCAGGACTGGTTTGTTGTTTTGCAGGGGGTGGCAGATGTGTCCACATTACCATCAAGCAAGAGTGTGCCACTAGGCTTTGTGACATACAAATCATTGTTCCTGGAGTCATCTGTAAAACAAGTACAATAAATTCACACATTGCCACCTTATTTGTTGTACCAACAGAGAACCAAAAGGTAGAAATGTTAAATACAGGCAGAACTGCAGGTTTTTAGCTGGCAAATGGAGCTAGCATACTAAAATAAAATGGTGAATACGCTAAACATTACCTGCAGAATATCAGCATGTTAGCATGCTGATGATGACAGGGCCAGTGATGACATTTAGCTCAAAATACAGCTGTGCCCCAAAAAACAGCCTCTCTTTGCTCCAAGCTTGTACTCCTGATAATAAATTTAGTCTTAATTACTAATTTGCATGAAACCATCATAAAGCTCCAACCTATAAATGGTAGGTAGGGCTTTATTGATCCCACAGTGGCGAAGTTCCTGTGCAGGCCAAAGTAAATTACATCCTGTCTTTATTGTCCAAACAGAGACCATGGTGGAATCTGCTGTGTGTGAAGCTAATCCATAATAAAACAGAGCAGGCTTTTAAAATCTCTAACTGGGTCACTGAGAGAGTGGGACATGAGCAAGTAGTGTGTGTGTATGAGGTTGTGTAAGAGAGAAAGAAAGATGTGTGTTAATTAGCTACACTGGCCTCATTGCTTCTCTGATTTTGCATGGCTATTATTAAGCATAGTCAAGTGTTAATGTCTTGTCCTTTCAAAAAGATGTGCAGATGTTCAGTATTCACCTCGTATATTGTATCTGACTGAAACTATGTAACCATTAAATAACATAAGTATCTCATTCTCTAGGTGAAATAACATTCAGAGTAAGTTGCCTGGTGTGAAGCCATGAACCTACTAATTATAAATGGAATGCGTCCTATTTCTGGTCCTTCATTAGTAGTGAAGTGACTCTGTCAATGCAGAAGCCACAAACAAGCTGAGCACTATAAGTACTGTATTAGCATGACAGAACTTTCTACTTTCTAATTTGCTAATTTCCACAACTTTCTACGTATAACACACTGAAAATAAACAGTCATAAAAAAGAAAGAATAACTGACCAGGTGATCCTCTTTCATTGGGATGATTTGTCTGAATTAATTTAGTCGACATCACACTCTAGCCACGACAATAGTCAAAGTGTTCACTACAAAATCTGAATAAAAATAATAATAATTATAATTAAATAAACATCTTTATGTGTTTACTTCTCTCCACACAAGTACCAATCAGTTTTGATAATATTTAGTACAGCTCCTCAGCAATCTGGTATTAAATGCAAAGGCAGCTTGAATTTCTTGCAGAGTTTAGTCAAAGACCTTCTCCACTGGTGCTTGCAGACACAGCACATCATTTACATTTACTTTGGCAAGTGAGTGTGATTGTGTGTGTACAGCAAATATTGAATGTGGGGATGTGCACTACATTATCCACCTTTGAATAAGGCTAACAGACGACAGGAATCAATTGTTTCAACAGGACTGAGTAGGAGAATCTATGATGAAGATACTGAAAGAGCAAGACAGGGTAGAGAAGGTTGTCAAAAGATATTTCAGGACAGAAGAAACTGATGTAAACCACAGTGCAAATGTAGAACAACTGTGTTTGCCAGCAGAACACATGTCACAGACGCTGCAGTCACACATCGACTTGGAGTCTTTAATTGGAGCAACACTACAAATCCAACCATTCACAACAGGCCATAAGTAGCAGGTGTTATATGTAATTGGTGTCAGGTTTAGTAATGATTGATGTTCCAGAGGCTTTAAATTTCATTCAAGGAAGGACTCTTACCTTTTTCTGGCACCATGTTGACAGCTCCTCTGTGTAAAATGTGATCTGTAGTATTAATTGGTCCATCTCCAATGTCCGGCGCTACTGGCTGAGTAGGGTGTTCAAAGCTGGGCCCTGATCCAGCAGACAGCAGTGAGGTGGAGTCCTGGTCCAGTCTGTTTAATGGAAGTGAGCCAGAGAGATGAAAAGGTAAGGGACTATCAGTTGTCTCATTCTGTGAGGCTGAGAAAATTGACTGATTTTTTCCAGTCTGCATAGAATATAATACAAATCCAGGGTTGGTCTCAGCTGGCTGATACTTCGGTGTTTGTTCCTGGATAGGTTGAGGTGGTATTCCATCTTCTATAGCACTTTGTGAGGGTCTGGATATAAATTCCTTCTCATTCAGATACAAAAGAGATGTCTCTGTGCTCTCCTGTAAATCAGTGTATTCACCAATCACTCCTTGTCTATCTGATTCCTCAGACGATGACAATGGTAGACTCAGAAATTCAACATTCTCAGGTCCAAACATGGGATCCACTGGTGCTAAACTAGATCCATAAGGTGAGGGCTGTGTGAGATGCTGTCCTTTCATGTCTGTGTCTATCTGTTGTGTTTCCTTTATATTTGTGCCAGTTAATGCAAGGGCATGTTGAGAGGAGAGGAGGAGGAGAAGATAGAGATTCCACAGAGAGAGCATGGCGAGGGTCTGTCAGCTCCACTGCTAAGTCACATACTGTAGATTTTGGGAGTACTGTCCAATCGCATGCCTGGCAGATCTCTAACCTCACATCTTAGAGGATCACATAATTAACGCACCTAGAGAAAATAGAGAGAGAAATCACATACAAGACATAATCAGTGCAGCCACTCATCAAGCACTATGCAGAATATCTGCAATAAACAATTTGACTGCATGCGGGGTGAGTCCAAATACTGTGCTCCAGTGAGGTGTATATAAACACTATCATAAAATCATATACCTTAAAAAAATCCTGTGACACGGTAGACATGGTAAAAAGAGTGCAGAGATACATTCATAATGATAACACATGAAGAGACTAAGTACAAAACTTCTCTGTTTCTTGTAGTGAGTTTTCATTTCAGCATTCTTACCTCAGTAGCTCACTCTGCTGCAGCCTCTTTAAACATATATGCCGCGTGTTGCTGCATGCCTGCAGTTCAGTCTCTCTCTGCGTATCACTCTTTGTCCTTTCACTCACTGTGCTGTGCCTCTCTTCTCTCCATCAGACAGTTGACATATGGGACAAATCCCACCTCCTCTAGACAAGCCCTGCTGTCCCGTACTCTGCCACTGCACTGAAATGAGTCTGACTGTTCGCACAGTCCCATTACCCTAAATATAAGGCATCATTCACACTGCACTGAGCATCTCCTTTCTAGTTGCATAGGCACCTTAGTACTGTCTCTCTGCCCCACATACACATATTTATCTGGTGTGTATATGTAGAGTATGGGGTGTTTAACAGAAATGTAGAAGAGAGGAAAACAAAGAAAAACACATAAATGTGTCAAGGAGGAGGGCAGTATAACTGAAACACTGCTACAGATCAATACATGCTATTGAGTGTAATTTATAACTGAAAAAGAGCTATCACATTAGCAGCTCAGTTGATAATGCAATATGTCACAGCAGTAGATGAAGCAGAATATTGCTTTGAATAGAATGCATGCATAATGGATCATGGTGGTTGTTTGTGTGTCCCTGTACATACAGCACATATGAACCTGGCACATGAACTTTTTAAATACCAAATAATTGCTAACCTATAGTTCGTAATCACCACTTGTGACCTTGTTGCTACATCAGTTATTGTGGCTAGAGCCTTTGATATGAGCAATCTCTTTCTGATGGGGGCATGCTACTTGCTTTCTTTATTTTCCTCTATCTAATATTCATATGTGCTGCTTTTACCCACTGGGGGAAATCAGTAGCACCGTGGCCTAATTCAATTCCCAAGGTTGAGTTTAAAATAGAAACTGATCCACATACAGTATCTTTGGATGCATTTAGAGTCAGAGAGCTTAAGACACAGGCACACATGAATACTTTACTCTTTGTGGCTAATGTAAGGATGTGAAAAGTACAACTTTAAGCTTTCTACTTATCATTTTTGAATTAGCAGGGCAAAGAATTTTTCAAGCCCAAATTGCTGTTGTGTAAGCAATCTATACACTGGTTCTTTTTTTGTCCAAAAATGTGTTAAATATGGATCAGATTTTATTTGATTTGATTTGAAACATATTGTGCATAGTGCAAAGTGCAATGATGTAAAGGCTGGTTCTGCTTGCCAAAAATAAAGCTGGCTGTGAAAGCAGATACTACAGCCAATAATGAATGAAGAGAGCAACAATGTCTCCTAAATTTCATCTGCTTTCATGCTTCTGCTTGCGTGATTAAAAAACAAACACAACATAACAATGGGATTAGGTTTCACCTAAACACAAAAACAGTGGGTGCCATTTCAAATCAATTAGACAGTGAGGTAGTGGTGAAGGTAGGAACTTCCCAAGGGCTGGGGTTAACCCGCTGTTTGATGAGGACAGAAAAGCACCAACCCAGCTGTAAATAAAGGGACTTGAAAAGGACAACAACATGCCAAACACATGAGCTCAGTGAGGGACATGGCCAAATTATTACATGCTACATTCAGATTCACTGGGCAACTGGTTTCTGTTTAGATAATTCATCCTCCAGCCAGACAAAGCCAGCAGGGACTGGGGTCAAGCTGGGGATGTGGACAATCAGGACAGAAGCTAAAACAAACCATGCCCCCACTTAGAATAAAGAGTCTAGATATGATAAATTTATATTGGCGTACTGTATATTTAGTCCACGTAAGCATGTCCTTTTAGGATCATTTCCTTTCTTCTTTGTTGGGCCCTGTAGATCTATGTTCAGCATCTATGCTTTTTTGTAGATTCTGTTCCATGATTTACACATTGTCTCTTTGTTTGATATATAACTTTGGCCACAACAACGTAAAGGTCTCAGCCAAACTTCATCTTTATAATGTATGGTAAAGAGCTGGAATCCTGTGCTTTGTTACATTTATTTAAATAGGCTATATTTATTCAACTGTAAGCTGATGGGGAAAATGGTGGTTGTAGGTTACAATGATAATGTTTTAGATGTCTATTATACATTTAAAAATTCTTGTTCAATATAATGATAACTATTTATGAACATAAATTAAACATAAATTTAATCAAAGTAACTGAAATGTTGTTATAGCCTGCGTTAAAAAAACTACCTTTAAACTGCATGTAGAAACATTCACATAATCACCTGAATGATTAAGACCTGAATAAGCAGAATCAGAATAATAGAAATGATAGAAATATTCCATCAGTGCAACCAATAACAACACAAGAAATATATATATATTTTTCATGGATCAGTAGTGTGTGGCTAAAGTTCACAGTTTAAAGAAATCGCTATATGTATGCGACGTAGCCTATCAGAATGGTTTTACTTTGTTTGAGTTTGTTTGCCAGCAGTTGTTTTTTTCTCCGAAGGGGGGCAGCAGTTTGCCAGGAGAGCCGCTGACATACATTTTTTTTTTTTTTTTTTTTTTTTTTTTTTCCGGGAACACGATGACCAGGAAGCCGATGACCGGAAGACGAGATGGGGTTAGACTGTCTTTGTTTACAGAGGGTTTGTATTTAATTAGCCTACTTCACACTCCTGGGTATATTTTGGAATAGCACTCTTCAGTCAGAGCGTCACTGGCAGAAAACTTTAAACAGGTTACTGACGTTAACTCAGCCAGCACTTAAAAGTAACTTACAAAAAGAAGTAGTGGGATTAATGTTAACGTCAATACTAACGTTACAGTGTTTTAAAGCTGCCCTCTTTTTAACGTTAAGGTTAGCTAAGGTTCTTTTTTTTAAATATCTTTTAAATCAACGTTATTATTCGCACTGTTAACTTTATTATTATTTGTGATAGGTGTATATCGTTAAGCTTTATTTCCGAGATAACTTAAGTCCATATCAGTACACAACATCTATCTTTGTCAATTTGTTTTGTTAATATTGTCACTCAGTTTGCTTGAAAACACACAAGCTAACAGCTACAGTATCTGTCGACGTTACATTAGCATTAACCACTAAGCTAGCTCTCTGTATTCTGCACAATACGTTATCGTTTATCTGTATGGTGACATTTCGACTGTAATGGTAGCTCTAAAAACGGCATATGTAATGTTTGTGATGGTAACGTATGTACATTTTAAATGTTATAAACTCTTTCTCTTTAGAGTTGTATATTGATAGTTATATATTGGTCATGCTGACACTTCTCATTGTCATTTCCTTCTTTTGCAGACACCCTTGTCACCTATAATTGAATGGGAAGCTTGGCAGCATTTGCCATGTTGGCCAGAACAACCTTGAGCAGAGGCATTATTGCCCAGCGCCTCAGTAAGAATGTCACTTTGTACACAAATGAAGTAGAGTCTCCAGCCTCATGCCAGGCTCAAACTTCTGAAGACAATAAAACTCTTATGCTGATGTTGCCATGGTTGGGTTCACGTCCTGAAGCTGTGGCCAAGTATTGTGATATCTACTTCCGCACCGGCTTTGATGTACTTGTAGCGGAGACTGAGGTAAGGACAACCAAAAACCACATTAACTCTGATAGTTGAACATAGTCAGTGATTGGTATCATAACGTATCAAAGCTATTATATTAAGTGAACAATATGTAGCTCTGACACTAAGCATTTAAATGGGTACTGCAGTCCCAATTCAAAATACTGGAGAGAGTTGACTCCCCTGGGTGGCATGATTGCACAGCAAGAAGGTTCTGGGTTCGAGCCCCTGCTGCATGTTCTCCTTGTGCCTGCGTGGGTTCTCTCTGGGTACTCCAGCTTCCTCCCAAAGTCCAAAGACATGCAGCTTACGCTTAGGTTGATTGGTGATTCTAAATTACCCATAGGAGTGTCAGCCCTGTAGATAGACTGGCGACCCGTCCAGGGTGAGTACCGTCTCCTAGGATTGGCTTCAGACTCGTATAGATAAATTGATTCCCTGTCCCCTCCTCCCAGGACCATAAGCTTACACAGGTTGACCAGCTAATGTATATGCTTGCCATGTTTTTATTGTTTCCAAATTATAAATCAGATTATGTGCATTGTTTATTGTTTTTGTTTTGATTTTATTTGTTTTAGTATATTGTTTTTTTTTTTTTTTTACATTCCAGTGTATGTGAATATGCTTAAAAATTAAAATTGATTGTATGATCAAATAAAAGGTGCTTCAACATTCTGTTTGTTTAACAAAGGTGATGGAGTTCCTTTGGCCTCGCTGGGGTCTGGATCATGGAAAGCAGTTGCTGGAGTTGCTCCAGAGTGAGCGTTTTGCATCCCGTCCACTGCTTGTCCATGCTTTCTCTATAGGTGGCTACACATTTGCTCAGCTGATGGTACATGTATCCCGGGACACACAGACGTATCAGTCTTTTACAAAGAGGATTAAAGGCCAAATCTATGACAGCTTGGTGGTGGGCTCTTTGGATAATATGGCCAGAGGTTAGTTAAGTATTAACATAATTTCTTTACATCAGTTAAGTTCATCTTATTAGTATCTGTTATGCCATTCACACAGGCTAGATCTAATATTATAATACAGTATTTGTACATGAAGTGATACCTATATGAATTGGAATGGATACTTTTTTCATTGTAAATGACTGAAGTGTGGTTTTCCTCTCTCTGCCCAGGTCTAGGTAAGACCTTATTTCCTCGTTGGGAGATGCTGGTAAGGAAAGGTAGCCTGATGTACTTTGGCATGTTCAAACACCAAACGGTGGACTGCTTTAATGCAAGCATCAACACATTTTGGAACACTCCCATCACCGCCCCTGCGCTGTTCTTCTTTTGCGAGAATGACATGATGAGCGACCACCAAGTTGTGGAGGATTTGATCGATTACTGGCAATTGCGTGGCATTGACGTCACAGGGAAGAAATGGGAGGAATCAATACATGCAGGTCACCTAAAGAGGCACCCGCAAGAGTATTTGACCACCCTAGACATGTTTCTCCACAAACACCACATAGCTTCATTGAGGGCCAAGATGTAAGATGGTTTCATTACAAATTAATGCCATATTAGCTTGACTTTGCTTGTTTTCTCTTTACAAGTGAATTAGATGTGCTTTACAGTAAAGTGCATACAAAAAAGTAGCATGACAATATAACAAAGGCTTTCAAATCTCCATGATCATGCAGAAGAAGATAAAACTGGAATTTCCTGTAAGCTTGGCAGTCAGCCTGTCTGAACTCAGACACAGTCACCCACTGATTGCTTGCAGTTAGAAAAAACACTCCAAAGGTCAAATGCACTTCACTTTGTATATCTAAATACACTGTGCTTCTTATCCTGGGGTGAGAACACAGATGCTCCCGAAAACAGCTCTGAGGCTCTTCACTCCTCACTCCAAATGTGCATTACTTGCATCAATAGTTACTAAGCTTTAGTTGATATTGTGATTAATACAACAAACAAACAAAAAAAATGCAACATGTAAATTCTTAAATTCAATTCTTAACAAAGTAGACAACATACATGAAGATTTGTACATCTTTATTACTGCAGTTTTGTATCTGACAGCAGTAGTAGGTAGTTTAAGATAAACAAAAAAAATTTTGAAAATGAATAACTGAATGAAATTTGACCTCAATGACCTTGTGTATATAGTCAGAGAGGTGTATTTACTGTACAATACTCAGAAATTACTATGAAGAAGAACATGTGCCTTTGTGCAGACAAGAGTTTTCCACTAAGTCAAAACATAATTTCATCACCACACAACTGTTCATATTCACACTAGCACCACAGATTATTTTGATGGGACAACACTGCCTACAAGAAATTATTGTTTTTGTTTTTGACAATGAGCAAAACACAATGTGTGATAACACCCTAATTCATCCAATTCACTTGACCTTTTGAGACAGAGCTTCAGTGTTGTGTAACATCACTGTTGATTTTTACACCATACTTTTACACTCAGTGCCTTGAGAAAGCTGATACTGCATTAACACAATTGCACGTTTCCTTTCCACCAATTTCTTTGTCCCTCGGTTAAATTGTGGTGCCCATTTGTTTTGATGTGTGCTGAAACTGTCAGAGTTTTACGAAGATTTGTTTGTCTTCAGTGCTTTTGTTAGGCTGGCCTTTTTTCTTTTCTTTTCTTTTCTTTTTTTTTACACTAAACCAGTTAACCACCAAGATAGCATAATGAGCCTCAGTGGTAAGTGGGTGGTGTTGCTGTGGTATTTGTATTTGTATACTACTGTCTGTACAGATGAATGTGATACCTTCAGACATTTGGAAAGTACTCCCAGTGAGAAATCAGACTTATGGAAGTCAATTTTTCCCTTATGATCTTGGATTGTTTCTCTTATGGTTTCCAGTTTCAATTTTCCAATGACAAAAGGGCACTGGGACTGAAGGGAGGCCATAAACTGGAGCCACAGCTACACCCTCAGAATGTAAAGCTTCTAATACAAAGTACATTTTTGGAAGATTCCGACTGTAAACCTGGTGTATGTAAACCTTTGACTCACTGGAGTTCTGAGTTTCTGAATTAAAAGCAAAATAATTGTGTTTCTGATCAACCCAAGGAATTTTTTTTCTACCTTTTGCCATAGTAGAGCTCTTAACTGACTTGCCAAAAGACATGTATGGTAACGTGACATTTCTGGACTGGTGATTAATTTTTTTCCTTTTTAGTTTGTCTTGAACATATGTGTATGTAAACTTCTGACTGAGACTCTATACTTATACATTTCAGATACATGTACTGTAATTATATTTGATTATTTTTTGTGAACTTTTTCTCTTTGTGTGTGGTTTAGAAGTAAATATGAAGGCACATCTTAGATGTGGGGGCAGCTGTGGTTTGGTGGGTAGAGCAGCCGTCCCCCAACCGGAAGGTCGGGGGTTTGAATCTTGGTGAATGCAGTTGAAGTGTCCTTGGGCAAGACACTGAACCCCCAAATTGCCCCTGATGGTTAGAGCCATCGGTTGAGTGGGTGCTGCAGATGGCTGCCTTTGTTCTGTACCAGAAACAAATTCCTTTTGTGTAACATACTTGGCCAATAAAGGAGATTATCCTTATTATGTATCATTTTTTTCAGACTCATTTATATAACACTCTTAAATGCACTTTAAATTGAGAGTTTTCTGTTCCGTGCCAAATTGCCAATAGCATTTGGTAGCACTGTGTATGTGCCCCAGTATTAAGACCTAGACAACAATCAGAGAGCACAAACCTCCACCGAGGCAGCTCACTATCCCCATGCTGCCGTTAGGTACCTTCCATGATAGTTTGACCCTCATAATGTTTCCATGACCATGAAATCCTACCCCTAGCATTTGAAATCACATTCCACATACTAGGTCTTTATTTCAGTAATGATGGTTTTTATCAGGATCCAACTTTGTAGCATTATTTGTTGCGTCACAGCAGTGAGTTTTCTGTGAGCCTATAAATGAACATTCTGGATCGGTATGTGTGTGTATCAGTGTGTATGTTATCTGGATGTTATGCAGTTTTTGTTCAAGAATTGTAAGTATTATGTATGGAGATAGAAGTAAAAGTATGGAAGTTGGCCCTATCTCACAATGGTGAAGAATCCTCTTAAAAAACATAAAACAAAAATCTTTGTTCTTGATGATGATCCAGATTAGCACCAAAATCTAATGGATTGTTCCATGAACTATGTCTGCCCAAAGGTTTCATCAGTTCCATTCATTTTGAGTTATTCTGCAGTAAAAACATAATAATAATAATGATGATGATGATGATGTAAGTAATCATTTTAAGGAATTAAAACTCAAACAATAGGCCTGTACAGTTTTTTTTAGTGATTTTTGTGTCCGTATTCCTGTCATACTGCAGCCTCACGTAAACCTCCAGGGCGGTAGGCGGCGCATTTCTAAAAGTAAACGCGAGAAGTGACGGCTCGGTGGCAATTTCCGTTAACGTTCAAAGATGGCTGTGCCCATATGTAAACATGGTAAACCATGCGATCTGATCAGATCTAGTAGCTAGTGGTGTTCAAGCTTAACTATTCTGCTGTGTTTATCTATTTTGCTGATTCTTTACATATCGAATAATTTGATATTATCTTTGAATGGTGGATTGTTAAATTAAACGTCACTTTGTGATTCATTACCGATACAGAAAGGCTGACTTTAGCGAGCTAACGTTAGCTACCGTAGGCAGCAGAGAGCGATGGTGGCGCAGACTATATTCGTGGGTTCTTTGCCAGCTTCTGCTACAACGGAACGCCTTGAGGAGATATTCTCTGAAATCGGTCCGGTAAAGAAATGCTTCGTGGTCAGAGAGAAAGGTGATGTTGCCGCTGTCGTTTGTTCAGAGTTTTTGTGGGTTTTTGTTTGTTTTTAATACAAAATAAACCAACTTTCCATAACTGGAGATATACAGTAGCTGTTGGATCACAGTGTACTAAGCAGTTATAGTTCAATAAAAACAAATGTAACCATTGATATCGTATTAATATACCAGGCACAGAAACATGTCGGGGATTTGGCTATGTCACGTATTCCATGGAGGAAGATGTGCAGCGAGCTTTGAAAGAAATAATAAAATACGACGGAAAAAAGCTTTCTCTGACCTTGGCGAAGAGGAAAATCAAAGACAAAAAGAAAACTGGTATGGACAAAGTCATGTCCAAACACTAGAAATTGTGACAGCTGTCACATTGCCTCTTAGATAACCTTGCTTATGTCTCACTTAGCACCAAAAGAGCGACCAGCTGCACCAAATAAAAATGAGCAGCAACCCCAAAGCTTCAGGAAAAAACAACTGAAATCTAAACTCATCATACGGAACCTCAGTTTTCAGGTACAGTATGCTGCATGGTTGTGGAATGCAAGAATGGGCAAGCTCACTTTGATCCATTCTCTGAGTTTCACTGTTATTTGCTACACTCATTGGTTGACCTGTAGTGTGATGCGTGGCTTGTGTTACAGTGCTCAGAAGAAGATCTGAAGCAAGTATTCGGCAAATTTGGAACTATTCTTGAGGCCAAAATTCCCCTAAAACCTGGTAAGAATGGTTTTAATTCTTTCTGAATGCAAGAACCACAGCAAGCCACAATTTGATGTGTTACAATTGGGTATGTTGATCAGTTGTGTCATTCCTATTTTTTGTACAGATGGGAAGATGCGAGGATTTGCTTTTGTCATGTTTAAAAATATGTCTGAGGCTGGAAGAGCCCTTAATGCTATGAACCTGAGGGAGATTAAAGGTAAGTGACTAAGACATTAGTGTTACTGTTGTGTAAGAAACACCCACAAATCACTTTGAGAAAAAAACCTATTTAGTTACGGTTTGATTCATAGGTCGACAGGTAGCAGTTGACTGGGCTATACCTAAGGACATATTTACTGCCACACAGCAATCCTCACATGCAGGTAATTATGAGCATTGTAAACAGCCTCTTCTGTTTTTATAATCCAAAAAAAAAAAAAAACAACCTTTAAGCTGTATAGAAACAAAAATAAATTGTGTCTCCTAATGGTTCTTGTCAAAGATGTCTACAGCAAATTAAAGATAAATGTCATTATTTTATTTATTTCATAGGAAATAAAAATGTAAAGGTGGAAACTGCAAAACAGCCAGACACAGAGGGTGATGCTGAAGACGGCAACGAAGAAAAGAAACGAGCATCATCTGTGAAGAAAAAGTGTGAATCTCAAATTTGTATACCCCTGTTCATATGTTGTTGGTCACTGGAACAAGTTTAACCATTTAGGCCACATCTTTCCACAGAATTACTTTGAAAGCAGCAGTGCAGCAGGTGGAGGAATCCCAGTCAGATGATGATGATGAAGATGATAATGAGGAACAAGATAGTGAGGAGGATGATGATGATGATGATGAAGGTGATAGGGAGGAACAAGACAGTCAGGAGGAGGATGATGATGATAACAAGAGTAGCCTTGATTCAAATGATGATCAGGATCAAAGTCAGGATGATGATGATGATGATGATGAAGATGATGACGACGAAGGCGGTGAATCAGGTACAGTAATACCATCTCTTCTTATGTTTTCTTATTTTTGAATGTAATGTAAAGATTTTCTTTCATGCACACATTCCACACTGCTTGTCCATTAATTTTTTACTCTAGCTAAAAAGAAAACCTTGAAGAAACGTCTCCCTTCAGATGTGAAAGAGGGCAGAACAGTTTTTGTCAGGTGGGCAATTCTTCTCACAGCTTCGTCTTAAAACTCTACGAGTATTTGCATCACTTATCTTATTTGTTCACTTTACTCCTGGCTGATTTAGGAACCTGTCCTTTGACACAGAGGAAGAGGGTCTTGAGGAAGTTCTCCTACAGTATGGAGAGCTTAACTACATTAAGATTGTTCTCCACCCAGACACACAGCATTCAAAAGGTTCAGTCAGAAGTAGTTGATGTACTTCTGTGTGTTGTTTTTGATGACGGGTCGACTGGCTAATTTTGGGTCTGTTGTTTTACCAGGTTGTGCATTTGCTCAGTTTAAGTCTAAAGAGGCTGCAGACAGATGCATAGCTGCTTCACAGGATGAGGCAGAGGTAATATGCACTCTCATCTTATCCCTTCTATCTGATATTTTTGTCCTGTTTGGTGCAGTGTTTTGATGTTGCTGTTGTTGTAACATTGGGTTCTTTGATGCAGAGTGGTGGCATCCGTGTAGATGGCAGAAAGCTATTGATTGTGGCAGCAGTGTGCAGGGAGGATGCTGCCAAGCTGAAAGTGAGCAAGGCGAAAGTAGAAACAGGCACCAGGAACCTGTACCTGGCCAGAGAGGGATGTAAGTAAACCCATTTCATGCTCTTTCATTGTCTTTCCTTACCACATGTTCCATTCTCTCACTCTGCTTGACTAGTGACATCTAGTGGTGAGTTTACAGATTGCAATGTTCAGCAACCTCCATTTCTTCAAATTATAGTTCCTAAACTCATGGAAATGCTTCCTCTTGTTTCTAACATTACTTCTTCGTCTGCGTCTCCATATTCAAGCTGCTACTTTAATGTGAAAAGATGAAATTGACGCTCTAGAACAAGTGTGTGGTTCGTCTGTTCTGGGCTGCTGTAAAAACATGGCATACCTTCATGATAGGGGACCCGCTCCTATGTAGATATAAAAGGCTCATTCTAAGCTAAAGAAAACAAACACAACTAAACTTATTTCCTGGTGATTACACGTTAATAAAAACATAATGCTGCATACTTTAGCCCGTTTCTGCTAATAAATCCTTCTAGATTTTACAACATCCTTAAAATTCCATCTAAAACAGGGTATCCCAATGTGAGACATATTATTATATGGTTACATTTAGGGACAATACAGTAAGTCAGTTCTACACTGAATGTAATTCTGACTTCAACACCCAGTGATCCGTGCTGGGACCAAGGCTGCAGAGGGTGTGCCTGAAGCAGACATGATCAAAAGAGCCAGAGTGAGTTCATTTTCATATATTTATGTTTGGAGATTTAAAAAATAAATAAATATTAAGCGGTAGAAAATGAATGAATGAATGAATGAAATATTAGTTTATCTTACACTTATCATCTGTCAACTACCCCTGCTCATATCTTTGGTGTTGTCTGTTTCCCTTAGTTTGAAGAAATAAAGAGGGCCAAGCTTCGGGACCTAAATGTGTTTATGTCTAAGACTCGCCTGTGTGTCCATAATCTACCCAAGTCGGTGCACAGTAAAAAACTCAGAGAACTCTGCCTTCAAGCCGTGAAAGGAGTCAAGGGAGCCCGCATTACCGAAGTGAGATGATATGGCATGCTGGTAGATGCTTCATTAAACATAGCAGTGTTGAATAGATGATTATTTTTTTATTGCAGCTTAGTTAAACAATCCTGGACATATGCTGTGTTAATGGGTGTTAGGCTGCCACAGAATTAAAGTCACTGTGTCTGTGAGCCCAGCAGGGGGTGGTGTTGTCATTCTTGTTAATGCTGTTTGTGTGTATACATCTTGTGTTCTCCTTTTAGTGTCGAGTGATGTATGACAGAAAGCCAGAGAAGGGTCAGGTGATGGGACAATCGTTGGGTTATGGCTTTGTTCAGTTTGAGGACCACGAACATGCTCTCAGCACACTCCGTTACCTCAACAACAACCCTGACATTTTTGGCTCACACAAGGTATGTTTTTGCGATGGAGTACTGGAGTGCTAAAATCATTACCAGGGTGTTTAAGAGCAGCCTTGTTGCCATTGCCTTTCCCGTAAGACTTTTAGACTTAAAATGTTTGTCTTTAAATAGTTTGATGCAGAACATCAGTATGTTTCTCTTCCTGGTCTGCTAGTAATCTTGTGTTAATGAAGCATTCAAGCATAACTGTGCATTGTGTGTCATTTTGCAGAGACCTATTGTGGAGTTCTCTCTGGAGGATTTAAGGAAACTCAAAATAAAAGAAATGCGACGACACAAAAGCAAGGTGTGCTTGTATCAGTTTCTGTGAATGTTACACATGTAATGTGTGCTACGGCCTGTTTTGATTTTAATTTTCCCCAAATGAAAAGTAACCTATGTGGATATTTTTGCAGGGACCTTTCCAAAGGCGAGAGTTGCAGACAGCTGGAGATGGAAAAGGACCTAGACAAGGTGGAAGTAGACCACAGCCCACATCAGAGCAGACAGTAAAGGACAGCGGTATGACATCAATATCTATGTTTTGTACATGAGAAAACAATGCAGATCAAGCAGATGCTGTGGAGAAACCATGTTACCACTGACTAGCTGTAACACTGAATTAAATTCAACGTGACCTTATTTTTGCTGTTACCATTGACATTTTTTCAAGTTTCTCTTTGTTCCCTCTAATGTGTTTTATCAGCTCCTCCTCAAAGCCAGAAGGACAGACACTACTCTGGCTTTCGTACCAACCCTGAGGTTGAGCACATAGATCTGGAGGATGGAAAGAAAAGAAAGAAGGTTCTACCTTTTCCTTCTCATCGAGGACCTAAGCTCAGGTAGAGTTTTTATAGCCATTACAGTGTTTCCTACAGAATTACATTCTAATTGTGGTGGTAGCTTAATGCTTTCATACATATGTTTTTGAAATAAAATGATAATAAGTAATGATATAGTGCTGTTCATCTGACCTGTCCCTTCCGCACTAGCTTTCTCTCCCATAGCTCTCCTCCTCTCCTACATCTCTTTCTTCCTGACCGTGTCTTGCTGCTTCAACAGCACTGGTTGAAACCAATAAATATTCAAAATGAATCATTTGGATTTCTGATCACACTGATTGGACTGATCAACTTTCCCACAAGTGTTTTTTTGATATTTTTCTGGACTGAGGGGGCAAACATCCAGCATCAGAGTTTATGAACTAGCATTAACTGTATCCAGTTGCAGGTGCATGGACATCCATGCTATATATAGCGTGCTGACCTCGGCAACAGCTGTATTCTAACGTTAGCTTATCCAGCCTTACTAGCTTTGCTAATAACTTAATAAAACAGTTGGATCTCCATGACTGACAGCATTATGTTAAAAAACACAGATTGGAGGTGGTCCGTCATCATGTGTTTGTGTTTGTGTATGTGTGTGAGAGAGAGAGAGAGAGAAATAGAGCCAGTATAGTTGTGGCCTGCTACAAATAAATCAGTGTATGGGAAACACTGTGTTACTAGTCTGCTCTCTGCAGTGTACTCATTTATGTATATACAGTGTATGTCTGCTTTCATCAACAACAGATCATTTTGTCTTGAGAAAGTGCCTTGCTACTACACATCTCAGTTGTTTTGACATTATAGTAGAGATGAATGATTCTCACATGTTTGTGAATCTTTTGTACTTTAGCGCACCTGTTAAACTACCCAGGTCAAGTGTTTTGAATTCTAAATCCACTTTGAATGTCATTGCTGGACAAATCTGACTAATAATGCTCAAAGTTTAGGTCTGTATCACTCTGTTTACCATAAGTGGTCTTTCCCAATTTGCATACCTGATGCGACCTATTTTTGACTTGTCAGATGCAAACAGCCCTTATAAAAGTACTCACTGTAACTCACCAGTGGGCATCAATCCTAAACTGCAATTTGTAAACTGTTGTCCTTTGCAGAATGCGTGATAAAGGAAAGCAGCAGGCCCCACCACCCAAGAAATCAAGACCTGGATCCAACAGAAGAGAGCGTCCAAGAGGACAGATGGAAAAGCCCATACAGCCCAGACACCAGGTTTATACATATTCCTTTGCATTCTTATGTTCTCTCCTTTTTTCTATAATCTGGGATTTTATTCACATGCCAAAGACAGCAGCTTTGTCATTCCTAATTTTAAAGCTCTTAAGGCTTGGGAGTAACCTCAAGACACATTTGAGCACCAGATAAGCACCTAAATCTGTAAATGTTCTGAGATGGTCAAGATCCTTACTTATAAAACACTGTGCCAGAAACCAAATTCAGATAGTTGTATACATGGCTGCTGCTGCTGATAGTCTGTCTGATAGACCTGCAGAGGGTCAAAGTTTCTGAAGGATTTAACACTATTGACAATGAACAACCATAATGTGTGAATACATTACAAAAATCTGTATTTAAGCATGAAAACATGCTGCCGCAGGTTCCTGAGGGCATCACATTCATGTTTCCCAGTAGTTTAGATATCAAATTTTATGTTGTGGTGCTACAAAATGAAACTGGTGTTGGATTACAACAGTGCTGTTAAGGAGAAGACAGCTGAAAAGGCAGCAGCAGCATTATTTTAGACCATGACAAACATTTTGGAAGTAACAGAAGTTGGTTGAAAGCATTTGACCAAGGTATTTGTGTCATTCACATGATCTGACTTTTGATTAAAAGTGCAGCCAAATCTCAAACCACAAGGGCAACATTGTTATAGTTTAATATTTACAAGAGATATATGTTTAAAGTGTATGTTTCTGACAATATGAAAGTAATGAAAATGTATTTTTGGTGACAAAATGTTTATCAATTATTTATTGGTGACAACCCTTTGGCTGTGTAGAAGTAAAATGGCATTAACACTGTTTAGGTGGAAGCTAGTTTTAGGCCACTAACAAACACCAAGAAGCTGAAAATAAAACAGGCATTTTGTTTTCCAGTAGAGGAAGACGTGCTATTCACTCTGCACCATGTGAGAGCAATGATTTTTCTGGAAGGTGTTTGCATTTCTTACAGGTGCACCTCTGTGTGGGATGTGGTTCATTATATTAAAATGCATCAGCGAAGTTCCTGGTACTGAATTAAACAAACATGTTGGAACACAACATTATTTGGTTTGATGTCATGAGATTTGTTTGGACAGGTGCTGGAGCTAGGGGTTAAGTGGGGGCCAATCTGGGAGCTTAAAGTATTTTTTTAATATTTAATGTTATGTGATACAAAATTGGCAGCACAGTGAAGAGGTGGTTAGTGCTGTCGCCTCACAGAAAGAAGGTTGCAGGTTCGAGCCCGGGTCGACCCGGGGCCTTTCTGTGTGGAGTGTGCATGTTCTCCTAGTGCCTACGTGGGTTCTCACAGTCCACAGGTGTGCAGCTTATCTTGATTTGCAACTCTGAAATTACTCGTGTGGGTGTGTGATTGTTTACATGTCAGCCCTGTGATAGACTGGCGACCTGTCCAGGGTGTACCCCACCTCTCGCCCAATGTCAGCTGGGATTGGCTCTAGCCCCCCTGCAAACCTCGTTAGGTTAAGTGGCTACAGATGATGGATGATACAAAATAACCTACTGACAAACAATCTGGTATTTAAGAGGAACCTGTGCTCATAATTATCTTTTATTGTGTTGTTTTTCCAGAAGGGTAAAGCAGCAAAGAAGCATTTCAGAAGTAGGGATGGGGATCGTTTCGACAGCCTGGTGGAGCAATACAAGAAGAAACTCATGGGAAACTGTGATAAAAATACTGGTATCAAAAGAAATAAGTGGTTTGACAGTTAGGTGTGTGTGTGCGCTTGTGAGAGTTAAGTATTTGAGGGTTACCACAACAGAGGTCCTGTATATTTGATATCCTGAGGTTTTAGAATAAATACAGTGGCTCTCATAAATGTGTTTTGTGTTATATTGTACATTACCTAATGATCCTGTTAAACCGTACTGTCATGGATCTTATTCTTGCATTTCTAATCCATGCTCATGTTTTTTTTATTTTTATTTTTTAAATAATGAACAATGTAAGGATACAGGTTTTTTGTGGTCTTTTTATGAAAATACATTAAATGTACCTGATACCTATATTTGTTTTATTGGTAATATTTACATATTTTTATTAAATTTATATTTGTTGCAGGGTTCAGAGAGATGTAAGTTCATGTTAACACCTGCCATTAGTTTGTAGCGGGAGTTAATCATAAGCTGATATCTTTGTATAAACACCATCCCACTCATGAACCCTGAAGATACACGTGGAGCAAGAGATGACCAACAAGTGACATTATACAGTATATTAACCTAGTGTATGTGCCATGTTCACTGCATTCAGGTCTTTATCATCTCATCTTTCTCTCTTTACACAACACTGACAAACTTTCATACACAATGTATTTATTTATTTATGGCCTAAATCCAGTAGTTATAAAAAAATAATGTCAACTGTACATAACATACAAAATACCTATGGACATAAATAGCCATTTTGGAAGAGCTGATGATATTGCACTGAAATTAAAGTTGCCCTTTCCTCTTCCTGTTCTACCAGTTCTCATACAAACACATTGTTTAAATTCTTGCCAAGTTTCAAGAGATGACATCACTGTTCATGGTGATGTTTTTTTTCTGGCTGCACTCAGCCATACACTGTTAATTCAGCTTTATGACTAAATTAAGTGTAGCTCTTTTTTTAAGAGTTGACACAACACTGGTTATATTACAAATCTATGAGCATCTGATTTATATTTGTGTGCAAAACATACTCTAGATCTGTTGGCATATAAACATTCCTGTGAAAAGTTCCCTTTTTCTGCAAATATGCTGATGAAAAAAAGTTTAGTACAAAATACATATCTTCTAAATACAGTAGATAAATAAATACATATGTATATAAATAAGTGCATGTTCAAGAAAAAATTGCCTTCAAAACACATTGAAGCATAGCCAGTGGAACCAAGTCAGACATCACTGATGCTGACTTGACATAACTGGAAATAGCTTGTCCAAAGATGAGGCCTACTGCTGTACTGATCCTAATGCCTTTCAGCAGGTCTCAAGATGATCCAGATTTTTCAGCAGCAGATTGAGGAACTCCTTCACTCTCATGAGAGCCTCGATGCTCACAGTGTGAATAAACTCTTTTCGGCTTTGTAACTCTTGCAGGGAGCCTGGCACCGGAGGCTTTGGCTGCTGCTCGCTGCAGTGCCCCTGCCTCCACTGACTGATGTAACCTGTCAGTGAAGAGATGTCAAGCTTGACCTGGGAGACCCCGTTAAGTGTGTCAGAGATCAGGCTGTTATAACCGTCCAAGACCGACACTATGGAGGAAGGTCCATCCAGATCATCAGCAGGTGGGCTGAGTGTCAGGCCGACAGGGGCCTGCAACAAAAGGGAACGTGAGTCAGGTGAAAACAGTACAACTTCTCTAAACGCCCTAGATTCATAAGCAAAACTACAAATCTTACTTGGAAATCCTTGTCCAGCCTAACCACCAGCTGTTCAGCCATCCACTTCACTTTTGACTTCATCTTCACTACTTCCACAGGCAGAGGAGCAGCGGTGCCCACATTTATAACATGCAGCAAAGAAAACAGTAGTGCTAGAGTGTACTCCATATTTGTAGTACTTTGTGCACTGATATTCCTAGGAGAAGAATCAGTGTACTCCATATTTGTAGTATTTCCTGGGATGTGCACTGATATTCCTAGGAGAAGAATGCAATTAGATATTATTAGTATTTATACAGGTTATTCTTAAAGTTTGTAGTTCCCCATCTTTCACTGGATGTTTCACAACAAAAACAGCAGTCAAGAGTTCATGTCAACATGCAGGTCAGCTTACACACATGCTTTCTTTTAGAAATTTACTCAATATGTTTGATTTTGGCAGCAAATATTTGTGATAGTGACACCTGTGAATTCCTGGCTGTGTAACTGGTCCAAAGACCACTGGCTTTGCCTAACAATCTTTTTCTTCACCCTGGTTTTTCCATACATGCTGCATGCCCTGTGAAGAATAGACCCGCTTAAAAACCTCAGCTGGACCTGTAGCTAACATGAAATGTCTCTAAAAACCAGCTACACCAAAGCAAGCACATACAGCCAGTATTTCCAAATCACAAAAAGCCAAGGCTTTAACAAGCTGATGCACTGATGGAAATGGCGTGGGACCATATGCAATTGGAACAAGTGAAGCAAGTGTGTGTAAGGAAAGGAGATGGAGAATGAGACAGGCAGTGAGATGGAGAGGAGAGCTGACCTTACCTTGGCTGGTGACTGCATGTATGACACTGTTGGGCTCCATCAGGATATCTTATAGTCGAGGGCTGTTGACTCATCTCTTACTCACCTCTTTCTCTCTGACCCCCCATTTCCCCCCTCATCCACCCACCCACTTACCTCTCCCCATCTCATACCCCTGAATCCTCTGGTGGCAGGACAAGAGGCGGGAGGTAAGCTGAATATGCAGTGCATTTTTGGTAACTAATGTTCAGCATGTTTGACTCACAGTGCAAAAATGTACACAGACTAATTTATCAAAATTGGGATTAGCTGATAAAGTTAGGTTTCATTTAGAAGTACTTGGAAAGAGAGCTAAACACGTGTCTTAGTCTCATGGGGTAGCCTCTAAATAACTCCAGTGGAGCAGCAGTGGGCAAAGTGTTTTGGTCAAACGTGTTTTAACAATAACAAAAGATAAAGACAACACTACTTACTGAAATAGCAAATCCAGAGAAACACTTTCATCTTCCTGTGCAAACCTTAGAATACTGATGTATTATAGCTATGGATAATAGCAACATTTTTTAAACAAAACTTTTGCCTTTTATGTCACATACTACACTTAGTGACATTTAGCAGGTACCATAACACAACATGTCTCAGTACACTTTGACAGTGATTATTTAACTTTCATCACTGTACATTAATAATTCTCATTTGAGTTTGATCAATCCTTGTACATACAGATAGTTGGATATATTTGGGTATCAGATATCCAGAACAATCCTTTAATTTTAAATGGATACAAATGTACAATGCATGATTTGTCCCAAAATGTCAGAAATTTTCAAATATCACATTTGTATACAATCTAACAATGTATCTTAGATACAGAATAAACTTAAGCTGGTGTTTGTCTGAACATTTGCAAATTTAAGACAGTGAAATCATCCGTTTTCCGGTTCAGTGTGACAGATTAGGGGTGTGGTGTTCTGAACGTAGTCCAGGCAGCAGTTACTGTATGTGTCCCTCAAACAGTCTCTGTAGGCAATTGATTTCCACTGTAGCTTTGAATTTATAGTTAAAAACTACATGAGCTATCAGCCTGTTTTTTCCCGATACACATTACGTAACAGTCACACATATATAATGTGAAAGCCGGATTCTCACTGGCATACATGATCCAGTAATGAGTGTCACTTCTTTCCTCCCATTGTCAATAATCATTTCTGCAGAAATAAATTATCTTTTCAGCCTTAGGTTTTGTTTTAAAAGAATTGCCCGAGTCAGATGTTTATGTTTCATAATGAGCTACTACAACAGAGAATAACCAAGTATTGTCTTCCCGTGACCAATAAAACCATTGCATTGTGATGTAATAACATAGATGCCAGATGTTTCTAAGCATCCTCTCTTTACACCGTAGCTATTTTGGCCACATTTCAAGCACACATTTCTCTACCATCATTTTTTTTCCTGTATTGTTTCCAATATTGTACTTTTTTTAGTCTTCTTCTCGGAAAACTGATGAAATTTATGTATTTTTAACAGAGAGTGGCTATTTTTGGGAGCAGATGTCTGTTGTTGTTCCACAGAGCAGGAGGGGAGTAGCTGTGCAGAGCAAGTTTCTGTTTCTCTGAACCTCAGAGACCAAGAATCTGCGTGTATTAGAGGAAGGCCGGCATCCACAGGGACCAGAACAGGACCATAGTGGTGATTTCAGATTTCTCTCAGGGTAACTTACAATAAAGTCTGCATACTGTTAACTAATTCATTCATGTGCTCCCCCATGGTCAGAGCATGTCCACACACACATAACGGTCTCAAAAAACGATTGGCATGTATTCATTGGCATGCTTTGGGCAGAATAAACAGGAAAAGACATGTGAAAGGTTGTGATTCTGGGAAGTTAAATAATTGGGTGATACTGTCCTGCTTGTATTTTCAACGGGAATAGTTTATTACTCATGACAAAAACAAACATGAAGAAATAAAGAGAATGTTTAAATTGGATGGATATTTGCGAAGTACTGTCTGAAGTTTCTTCAGACCTGTTCTCTAGTGTTTTAGGCAGATTTCTTGCCAGAAACAGAGCTGACATCTGGAATGTCCAAACTATTTTTAAATCGGGATTTTGCCTGCCAGTATGTGACATCTTGAGGAAAACATTTTAAGATGATGTTGGTGGTCTTCACTAGGTTATGAGTAGACATGAATGCTTTTGGTCAGAAAAAAAACTCATTGCTGTGTCATTTTATATTCATATTATATATATGTCTTTATTTGTGTTACCCGTTTGATCTTTGAAGTTGGTTCAGCAAAATATTTCTCAAAATACTTCTCATAAAAGGTCTAGGTGATTTCCTTTGTACCAGGTAGATCAGTCTGTATATTTGTTTACTTTGTCCACAGCTCTCAGTGTGCACAAATGATCTCCAACCATTTTTACTTTTTGTGACTTTTTGCATTTTTGTGAGTCCAGAGTTTTGTGTTTGGATGTCCCTTTTGCTCCGGGGCTCAATCAAACTGCATCCCTGCAGGACAAGGAGTCACCTCCTGGAATGTGACACTTTATTAATAATTCATGAAGACTTAGGTGTCAGAAGAGTTATGGGAACTTATGAGTCACATCCTCAGAAGAAGTGTGTGCTCTTCTTTAATCAGACTGTTCACACTTGCACACTGTAATACTGCAGTATCCATCAGCACTTTAAGGTTCGAAGAAGGGATGCAATTATTATGCAGTGTATGACACAAACTAATCTACAGACCAACAGGTTACCAGTGAAACAGTATAAGTGTTTCTGACCTGTTCAGTGGTGGAAGATGCTTTACCTACGTGAAAGTCGCAATACCATAATGCAAGAATACTATGTTACAAATAAAAGTCCTGCATAAAAAGGTCACTTAAATAAAAGTAAATAGGTATTAGCATCAAAATATACTTAAAGCACTGAAAGCGGAAGTACTCATTATGCAGAATGGTGTAGTTTACATTAATATATATTTTATTATTGGCTTATAATTATTCAGGCATTATTGTGTTCGTCACTTTAACAAATGTATAGCTAATTTTAAGTACTGTATGATTTTAGAATTTGAATTACTGCTGGGTAACTTGTGAATTTCTCACTGAGGTTTGATTTGAGTTGATTTGATTTATTCTTTCAAACATGTAACGACAGTCAATATGTCAACACACATAATTTCACACATATCCACAAATGCATTATCAATTTGCTTATACCTAGTACCTGCTTGAACAGAGTAGGAAGAAGTCAGACTTATCCAGTCCTAACCCATGACATCATCTTACCATCATTGGTTTGCAAGCAGTATTACTACATAGATAATTTTGTTCTACACCACGCTAGTGATATACTAAAAAATATTAGATTGTTAAAAGGTTCAAAAGAGCCTTGTGGTTCTACTGCATTTTATTATCTGATTTTGAAAAGTAACTAGTAACTGAAGCTATCAAATAAATGGAAATACTCAGTACAGATACCTCAAAATTGTACTTAAGTACAGTACTTGAGTAAATGTACTTAGTTACTTTTACTTAAGTACTTAGTTACCTGTACCCCTGTTAGTACTGGTCTTTGATCTTTTTAATGGGCCTTACACAGCATCAGATTACTTTTCCAGCATAGGAACCAGGAATTCCACTCAGCAGGACCTGTGTGGATGAGTCACAGGAATGACGAGAATTTGGATTCATTGATCCCTCATGTGCAGCCGTTCAGAACCATGTATTGCTTTTTTTTTTTTAACCCCCAGACATTTGAGTGACGTTAATATCACAAAACAGTTCTACAAAGACTTGCGTCAGCTTTTCTTCGGGGTGCGCACTGTTACTGTAAGTTCCAGTTACAGTAAAAATCTTTAACAGAACATCTTGTTAAGCGACACTGGCAGCACTGATCTTAAGAAAGACTTAAAAAAATGTCAACCTTTTCTCCTGACTAAACTCAGAAAACAAACCCACAGGCTGTCTCTTCCCAGCATATTCCTTTACCAATGCCAGGTCTGTGGCCAACAAAATGGATGACTTGGAACTACTTCTTGCCAGGAATCGGAATGTCAGTAACTGCAGTGTTCTGATTATAACAGAGCGCTGGCTTCATCTGCAAATTTCCGAGGCTATCATGCAACTAGCAAACCGCACACTTGCTGTGACAGAAACTGGGAGTCGGGTAAAAGTAGAGAAGAGTAGCATTTACATGTGTTACGGGCCCCAAGTGCCGGGGTGAATTAGTGCAGCCTGGAAAACACAATGTGACATCAGATCAGAACTCTCACGGTGCGCTGGCATTCTCATCCAGACTGCATCTGGGAGCGAGGACAGAAGGTCCCTCCCCAAAACCATTCTGGGTGCAACACCAAGCGCACAAAGGTTCCGCTTTACCCTTTTCTGTTCTCCAACCACCAAATCCAGGACAGCAGGCACAAAACATCATAATGTTCTAAAAATATAAA